TCGTGGCGGTGCAGTAGCAAGCACCAGTAGCTCTAGCACCTCCTGCAACTCCAGCACCTGCAGCAGCTCCAGAACCTTGAGCTCCAGCGCCACCGGCGCCAGCACCTCCAACAGCGCCAGAAAATCCAGCGCCAGCACCTCCAACAGCGCCAGAACCTCCAGCGCCAGCACCACCAGCAGCTCCAGAAACTCCAGCTCCAGCGCCACCAGCGCCAACACCTCCAACAGCTCCAGAACCTCCAGCGCCAGCACCCGCACAGCTCCAGAACCTCCAGCTCCAGCGCCACCAGTGCCAGCACCTCCAACAGCTCCAGATTCTCCAGCTCCAGCGCCACCAGCAGTAGCACCCCCAGAACCGTCACCTCCAGCTCCAGGGCCTCCAACCTCAGAGTCGACAGCAGCACCTCCAGGTCCAGCAGGACCTCCAGTCCCAGCAACTCCAGTACCTCCAGGACGAGCACCTCCGGGACCAGCTGCTGCAGGAACTCCAGTAGAAACAACTCCAGTAGCAGAGTCACCAACTCCAGCGCCTCCCGCAGCAGGGCCCCTAGCACGAGCAGCTCGACCCTGACGGCTAACGTACCACTCACGCAGCTGCTGTGGGGAGAGAGGGATAGCGCCGGCTCCAGTGCCTCCAACACCAGCACCTCCCGCAGCAGGGCCCCCAGCTCCAGCAGCTCGACCCTGACGGCTAACGTACCACTCACGCAGCTGCTGTGGGGAGAGAGGGAGACGACGACGAGAGTGCAGCGGCGAGGCACCAGCGGAGCGACTACGGAGACGGCCGCTCCAGGGAGACTGCTCACCCCTCAGCGCTCCCAGGTGCAGCACCCCCGGACTCAGTACCCCCAGGCTCAGCACCCCCAGACTCCTCACGCTCAGGCTCAGCACCTCCAGGCTCCGTACCCCCAGGCTCAGCACCCCCAGGCTCCGCACCCCCAGACTCAGCACCCCCAGGCTCCGCACCCCCAGGCTCCACACCCCCAGAAGTAGCACCTCGAGCAGGACCACCCTCAGCAGGACCCGAGTCACTAGTGACCTCAACCGGCGCAGTCAAGGGAGGAGGGTCTACCTGAGACACACCCGAAGGAGCAGGACCGGGAGCGGGGAGGTGGTCTACCTGGGGAGCACCTGGAGCGAGGAAGAGCGGCGGGGGGGGGAGAGGGGCAGTGCGGTAGGGGAAGAGACGGTAAAAGGGAACCGACTCGTCGAACGTGACGTCCTGAGAGGGGAAGACACGACGCGAGGTGGGGTGGTAAAACTGCCAACCAGGCGCGTCAGGGACAAAGCCAAGGAAGACACAGGGAACAGCGCGGGCGGAGAGCTTGTCCGCGGTGGTATCGCGGAAAAAGGCACGTGAACCCCAGAACCGGAACACCGACGCATCACCAACCTCCCCCGTCCACCACAGTGTGGGCGAGGTCTCCGGCAAGGAGACACGGGGCCAGAGGTTGAGCTGATGCGCGGTGTAGCGGACCGCAAACGGCCACAGAAAATGGGGGGCAGCCGCATGGACCATGGAGGTACGAGCGACCTCCATGACCAAGCCAATGCGGCGCTCAGCAACCCCATTCTGCTGCGGAGAGGCCGGAAGCGTGAACGTCCGGGGAATGCCCTCCCCACGACAAAAGCTCTGCAGAAGGTTGGAGGAAAACTCCCCACCTCTGTTAGAGTGCAAACGCAGGACGGGAAACTCCGTCCCCAACCGCTCGCGGAGCTGGAGACGGGAAGCGCGGATTCAAGGGATCAAAACATCAGGGACCTCACCCTTGGTGCGCAAGGGGAAGACCGTGGTGTAACGCGAGTAGTCGTCAACAACCAGCAGGAAGTACCGCTCGCGGTCATGCCCACTGACGTGGGCTGGGCCCCACACGTCCATGTGCAGGGTCTGCAGGGGAGCAGTCGTCGGGGGAAACGAGGAGGAGTGAGGAGCGGCGCGCTGCCGCCCCTCGACACAGGGAAGACGGGGAGGAGCAGGCGAGGGTGGTAGGGGAGGGAGAACCCTGGGAAGACGAGAGACAAGGACACGGCGGTGCATGCTACGAAGGCGCAGCACCGAGGGGTGACCAAGACGGTGGTGCCAAAGGAGGGTCTGGTGCGACAAAGCGCGACACGAGCAGGGGGCCGCTAGCTGACCTGACGCAGACGCAGACGCCGCGACCTAAGGGCACACAGTAGTCAGTGTGTACAGACTCGAGCCAGGCGCACGGGTAAACGTGGCCAGGTGCCGGCCCGTCCGGGAGCACGTACAGTGGATCACGCGCTGACCTCCAGGAGTGAACTGGTCAACCCATTGGTCCTGGAGGTCAGCACCACTCACCAAGTTCGTAGAGAACGAGGGGAGGTGAAGACCTGACAGGGAGCCAGACGGGACCGCCGGACACGGCAGGACCGTGGAGGAGTGCGCAAGGACTGGACCCCCAGAGGGGTCTGACAGGGAGACTGCAACCGGCCGAGTGAGCGACGTGAGGGTGGTGCTGTCACGAAAGAAGGAGCGCGAAGCACCTGAGTCAAGTGTGAAGGTGTACAAGGCCTTAGCAGGCGCAGTACCAGAGAGAGCAGACTCACCAGCACCTGGAGCAGCAGCCACACCAGCACCTAGAGCAGGAGATGCACTAGCACCTAGAGCAGGAGACGCACTAGCACCTAGAGCAGCAGCCTCACCAGCACCTAGAGCAGCAGGCTCTATACCTGGGTCAGGCGGTACGCACAGGTAACAGGCACCGTCAGCACTAGTAGGCAATGCATACATGGCAGTGAGAATAGCATCATAGTCAAGAGCAAAGATATCTACCCTCTGCCTAAGCAGCTCCAGCCAGGTGGGGAGCTCAGCCTCGTCGCCAAACTCGGTACGCCAGGCGTCGCTCAGACGGGCGAAGCAGCGGGACTATGTGTGACCAAGCGTCCCGCAAGCCTGACCTGCCCGATCACCTGTGCGAATGACGTACGGGCAGCGAACGGTACTCCTAGACCCTCTACTATGAGCGTACCACTCACGAAGCTACTGGGGCGTAAGTGTCTCGCGCGGACGCCGCTGGAGCTGCAGCTGGCCACTGCTAGACGCTCCCGACTGACCAGCTCCAGGCGACAGCTACGATGGCTACCGCCACAACCCCAACTAGCGTACCACTCACGAAGCTGCTGGGGCGTGAGAGACTCGCGCGGACATCGCGGGAGCTGCATCTGGCCACCGCCAGTAGCAGCAGTAGCAGTAGTAGCAGCAGTAGCAGCAGCAGCAGCAGCCTAGTAGCAGTAACAGAAGTAGCAGCAGTAGCAGTGGTAGCAGCGCGGGCAGGGCAGGCGCGGTAGGCAGGCAGGCAGGCAGGCAGGCAGGCAGGCAGGCACGCAGGCAGGCAGGCAGGCAGGCAGGCACGCAGGCAGGCAGGCAGGTGCTCACCAGTGGCGGGAAGGGTAGGCGCTCGCCGGGCGAGCAGGGCCGGTGCTCAGCGGGCGGCGGCAGGGTAGGCGCACGACGGCGGCGACGGCGGGGCCGCAACATCGGCTGCAGAGTAGGGCCGCGTCAGCTGCAGGGCTGGGGCCACGACAGCGGCAGGGCAGGGCCGCGGCAGCTACTGCAGGGCGGGGCCGTGTCGGCGGCAGGGCAGGGCCAGGCGGGGTCGCGTCGGCGGCAGGGCGGGGCCTCGACAGCGACAGGCCGGGGCCGAGTCGGTGGCAGGGCGGGGCCGCGTCAGCGGCAGGGCGGGGCCGCGTCAGCGGCAGGGCGGGGCCGCGGCAGCGACCTGGCGGGGCCGCGTCGGCGGCAGGGCGGGGCCGCATCGGCGGCAGGGAGGGGCCGCGTCGGCGGCAGGGCGGGGCCGCGTCGGCGGCAGGGCGGGGCCGCGTCGGCGGCAGGGCGGGGCCGCATCAGCGGCAGGGTGGGGCCGCGACAGCGGCAGGGCGGCGCCGCGTCAGCGGCAGGGCGGGGCCGCGTCAGCGGCAGGGCGGGACCGCGACAGCGGCCTGGCGGGGCCGCATCGGCTGCAGGGTGGGGCGGCGCTCTGGCCTGACGGGCCTGCAGGCGCGGCTCGCTGGCCTGACGGGCCTGCAGGGGCGGCGCGCGGGCCTTACGGGCCTGCAGGGGCGGCGCGCTGGCCTTACGGGCCTGCAGGGGCGGCGTGCTGGCCTACGGGTCTGCAGGGCGGTGCTCGCGTAGCTAGGGCAGCAGTAGGCAGCGCGAGGGCTGCAGGACGGCGCGCGCAGCGCAGCACGTCACAAGGCAAGGCAGGGGAAGGCGCGCGCAGGACAACACGTGGGGTAGCGCGGTAACCGCAACGGTAGGTGGGCTCGAAAAAAAAAAGACGGTCCTAAGGACCTAGTGCTCTGAAACCATGTTAGAATCTAGAAGCAGGGATGAATGACTAGATCAGGGTTTGGTACAAATATGAAACCCTAATGGGGTTGTACCCTATATTGGCTACCCCACTACAGCCTACACATATATGACATGCATATAATTTGACAGAGGGGAGAGGTACCAAGGAGGAGGTGAGAGAGGGATGAGGAGAGGAGGTGAGGGGGAGCCACCCGTGGCGAACCCCTCTTACTAACCCCCTTTTACAAAGGGAGAGGTGAGAGCGGGATGAGGAGAGGAGGTGAGGGGGAGCCACCCGTGGCGAAACTGTCAAAACACTATCGTAGCTGGTAACCGGGTTTAAGGAGGGCCTAGGCTTAGTAGCCTAGGCCAAGCAAGTGTCGAGGTCAAGGCCAAGGGAGTGTCGAGAGAAATTGACCAAACAAGTTAGCTTCACTAAAGCAAAGCATACAAGATATAGTCGAGAAACACAAACAAGGGGTGCACCGCCAACAGCAAAGAATAATAACTACAGTAACTACAGCAAGCAGGATAAATCTTAAATATAACTTTGACACACCCCCTTAGCCTGCTTGCAGTAGGAACTAGAGTAGTCAACACCCCCTGAAGGGGTATAGCTGGCGTAGTGGGAGACGGCAGAGGGGTACGTGAGGGGAGGCGGCGAGAGGGAGAGAGGAGAATAGAGGAGATGAGAACACATAAGGAGGTGAGTGAGGGATGAGGGGAGGAGGTGGGGGGGTGGCCGCGGCGTCCCCTCTTACTAACCCCCTTTTACGAAAGGGGGGTTGAGTGGGGGATGAGGAGAGGAGGTGGGGGGGTGGCCGCAGCGTCCCCTCTTACTAAGCCCCACATCCCCACCCCCAATCAACCACCCTCCTTCAACCTCACCCCCCATTTCAGCCGCCCCCTTGAACCGCACCCCCTCCCTCCCTTCCTTCCTCCACACCCCTGCCCCACCCACAGTTGTCTCTGCCCTGTCCTTCACACGGCAGCCAGCCCTCCCGCCCCCCCGTCCCCACCACCTACCCCCCACAGTAGCAGCCGCGGGAGGGGAGAGGCAGGGCAGTGGGTGGTGCTCTGCTGGCGGGGTTCTCTGCTGGCGGGGTTCTCTGCTGGCGGGGTTCTCTGCTGGCGGAGTGCTCTGCTGGCGGGGTTCTCTGCTGGCGGGGTTCTTTGCTGGTGCTGGTTCCTGGTGCTGGCGCTGGTGCTGGTGCTGGTTCCTGGTGCTAGCGGCTGGCGCTGGTGCTGGTTCCTGGTGTTGGCGGCTGGCGCTGGTGCTGGTTCCTGGTGCTGGCGGCTGGCGCTGGTGCTGGTTCCTAGTGCTGGCGGCTGGCGCTGGTGCTGGTTCCTGGTGGTGGCGGCTGGCGCTGGTGCTGGTTTCTGGTACTGGCGGCTGGCGCTGGTGCTGGTTCCTAGTGCTGGCAGCTGGCGCTGGTGCTGGTTCCTGGTGCTGGCGCTGGTGCTGGTGCTGGTTCCTGGTGCTGGCGGCTGGCGCTGGTGCTGGTTCCTGGTGCTGGCGGCTGGCGCTGGTGCTGGTTCCTGGTGCTGGCAGCTGGTGCTGGTGCTAGTTCCTGGTGCTGGTGCTGGTACTGGTTCCTGGCGCTGGTGCTAGTGCCTGGTGTTGGTTCCTGGTGCTGGAGCGGGTCTGCTGGTTCGTTTACTGGCGGGCTTGCGGGTCGTGGACGATCTGTGGCATGCAGTGGTGAGGCAGCAGCTTCTCCCGCCACTCCCGCCACGCCCGCCATTCCCGCCACTCCCTTCACAGCAGCTGCGAAGTCGACGGGAGGGCAGGCGGGGACGGAACGGGACGGGACGGAATGCGGGCTGGCTGTGGTGCTCAAGTGACGGTCGCCACCCTTTCCCCCCTCTCCTCTCCCCCCCCCCACTGCGACCGTCGACGTTTCCGCGACAGTGAGCCGCGACGAGGCAGCGTGACGGGGAAGGGCGACGGGGAAGGCAGCGGCGGTTCGAGGGGCCGACGGGGGGCAAGAGCAGCGGCGCGAAACAGCGGGTCGACGAACGTCGTTACTCCCGCCACGACCGTCGCGTCTGTCACGACTACCGTGACGGATTTTGCTACGGGCGAGCGATGGGGAAGGACGGGACACGCCATCACGATAACTAACGGTGGGCCCTTTAAAAAATAGGTCGGGAATGACCTAGCTCTGATACCATGTCAAAACACTATCGTAGCTGGTAACCGGGTTTAAGGAGGGCCTAGGCTTAGTAGCCTAGGCCAAGCAAGTGTCGAGGTCAAGGCCAAGGGAGTGTCGAGAGAAATTGACCAAACAAGTTAGCTTCACTAAAGCAAAGCATACAATATATAGTCGAGAAACACAAACAAGGGGTGCACCACCAACAACAAAGAATAATAACTACAGTAACTACAGCAAGCAGGATAAATCTTAAATATAACTTTGACAGAAACCCCTCTTAGTAACCCCCAAGTCCCCACCCCCTTTCAACCACCCCCCCTTAACCTCACTCCCCCATTCAGCCGCCCCTTAGAACCTCACCCCAGCCCCCCCCTTTCTTCCTCCAGACCCCTCCCCACCCACGGTGGTTCCTGCACATGACTTTACACAACGGCCAGCCCCCCCCACCACCTCGTCCCCACCACCTCCTCGTCCCCACCACCTCAGCAGCCGTGGGAGAGGAGAGGCAGGGTAAAGGGTGGTGCTGGAGTGCCTCACGGCGGCCACCCCTTCCACACCACCTCCCCCCCCACAGCCGGAGTCGCCGAAGGGAAGGCGACGGAGAAGCGCAGAGAGGCCGCACGAGGCGGCACAGCAGCTGCAGTCGCGGAATATGCAGCCGCTACAGTAGCATAGGAGCCGACAGGAGGGCGGGTGGGGAAAGCTGCTGGTGCGCAACGGGCGGCGTGGAGCTGACGACGGGCGGCGGAGCGCTGACGACGGGCGACGACGAGGTGACGACGGGTGGCGGGGATGTGGCTACGAGCGACAGGGAGTTGACGACGGGCGGTTTGCAGCTGACGACGAACCATTGGGAGCGTACGGACGGGCGGGGGGGAGCGAGACGTGGGCGAAACGTGAGCTCGCGGAATGTCGCGAGAAGCAGGACGAGGGGCCGCACCAGCAGCGCGATGGTGAGCCGCGATGGGGACTGCGACGGGGACTGCGACGGGAACTGCGACGGGGAGAACGGGTCTCGCCATTGCACAACTCACCACCGTGACGGTCGCGAGCGTCACGCCGGATTTAGCGACGGGCAGAAGCGACGAGGGAAAAGCGACGGGCTGGCGACGAGGGAAACGCGGCCAGCTCGCCGCCGCGCTCGCAACGAGCGCCGTGCCGCGAATGGGTGGGCCCATTAACTTAGGTCAGGATCTTACAAGCTCAATACCATGTCACGATAGCGTCTTAGTTAGGAAACTTAGGGCGTATCCATGTTCGGGTCATGAGCACTGTTCCGGGCATGCGCGATTTGCGGATGACCCAAACAACATAGAATGCATGTTTGGGTCATGCGACCCCCATATTGCCGCAAGGATTTTCGCGCCAAAATCCAGCTCACAACAACAGTCGCATCCAATGGAGGGATGCCAGAACATTTCGAAAGGTCATTAGCGAGTCCCACGCAAAACCACGTGACACTCACTGAGAAAACACAACCCCCAAAATTCCCGGAGCGAATTCCCAAATGTTGGGAGCGCGACGCGAGAAATTTTAGACACACTCGTGCACAATTTGCCGAGTGGTTGGGTGCAGAGGTGTCAGACGTGGGAAATTGCCCACGTGTGACACTCGACTGCCGATCGACAAAAAGTTGGCAGTAACACCACAATCGTGCAACCAGGTGATTGGCTGTGGGTGGGTTGTGCACGTCAGTCGCACAACACCTACACATTGACCCAAATCTGGGGCCGCGCGCGGCTCGGCAGCCCACTTCGGGTCATGCGCAAATTCCGCATGACCCAAACAGTAGCCAGAACAGTGCTCATGACCCGAACCTGGATACGCCCTTAGGGCCTGGACTTAGTAGCCTAGGCCAAGCGGGTGACGAGTTGGTTGTGCAAGGGAGAATCGAGAAATGAGGGGCTTCACTATAGGTTTGCAAGAACATATAGCAAAGAAACAAAGAAGGTGCACCACCAAACAAATAATGAAAGAACTACACTACAATAACTACCGCAAGCATTATATATATTAAATATAACTTTAACACCCCTTTCAGCCGCCCACCACCGTCTAATTCCGCCCATTTCCGCCTACAGCCGCCCATAGCCACCCAAAAGGGCCCACAGCCACCCGTAGCTGCCACAGCATCCTAACAGCCGGCACAACGCACACCGCCGCCATTGCGACAGCTCACACCTGCGCCTTACCTGCCTACGCTCTACCCTTGCAGCCACCAACCCTGCCCGTTGTCTCCAACACGCTTACTGCCATAGGCATCTCTAGCGGCGGTTGGCAACCGTAGTTGCTTTCACTGGCGCGGATTACTGTTAGTACCCCGACGTTACTGGCGTTCCTAGCCCGTCTTACCTAGCCTACCGTTCCTAGTCTGACTCCACTAGCTCCGTTTTCTCCTCGCTTCTGCCGTTCCTAGACTGGCTTCCTAGCTCCGTTTGCTCCTCACTCCAGCCAGTCCTAGCTACAGTCGCTCCTAACAGTTACTTTAGCGTCCTCTCGAGTTTTGCGCTTCGGCGCAAAGAGTTGTCCCATCGACTTTAGCACGTGGCTCCACCACCTTACAAGCCAGCGCTAGGACGGTGCCACCCTGTACGCCCATGTGTCCGGTGCCCTCCAGGCCCCTCCCACGGCGCAGGCGGACTACGGCCGGTTGTTCTTGGCGCATAAGGTCTGGAACTCGCGTAATGTCGCATCACCCTCGCACTGACGGACATGCTCCCACCGACTGAGGCTGTCTACTTCTCCCAGGTCGAGACTGCGAAAGGGGTTCTATGACGCTATTGTTGCTCATTATACGACCCGTCTCCTGTGTTTCCCGACCTTCGTTCGTTTGAGACTGTCTCTGACCTGGTCACTCACCTGCGTTCCCTCGACACTTGCTACCGTGCTGCCTGTACCGACGCTCAGCTTCTCCTCGCCCCTCACTGTGTTGCTACCGTGCTGCGTTTCCTCGCCATATTGCTCACCATTCACTGGTTAGTCACTCACCTCCCTAACCGCCTCTCCTCTGCCCGCGACACGCTTTTTCAGAAGCACCCTAGTGAGCTTACTATCGATCTTCTTGAGACCATTTTTTCGAAGATTGAAAGTAACCTCCTCGTTGTAGCCTTTGCTACTGCCACAGTAGTTCCCCATCTCTTCGAGGGGTGTGCTGTGCCCCGGTTTCCCACCTTCACAGCTTTCCTTGCCACTGCTGCGCTGTCTGTACCTGAGGAGACCGCAACTGTTTCTACCAATGGTGGGCAGAAACGAGGCAAGCAGAGTCGAAGAGGGGGGAAGGGTGGTGGTGGCAGTGGTGGTGGTGGTGGTGGTGGAGGTGGGGGTGGCGGAGGTGTTGGCGGAGGCCCTGGCGGTGGCACTGGCGGTAGTGGAGGGGGTGGCGGCGGTACTTGAGGTAGCACTGGCCCTGGTGGTAGTGAGGGAGCCCAGGAGCAGCAGCAGCAATCCTAGCAGCAGCCGCAGCCACAGCAGGGACAGCCGCAACAGCAGGGACAGCCGCCGCAGCAGGTACAGCAGCAGTTCCAGCAGTGGGGTCCTCCGCAGCAGTGGGGACCCGGTGGTCCGGCGAGCACTGACCGCAGCAGCGGCCCCGCTAGCTGGGGACCTTTTCCCGTTGGCCGCGACGCTGGCCCCTGCGGCTACTGGTTCAAGACAGGTCCAGGTAGTCCCGCCTTCTGCGGTCGCCCCGACCACTCTGCCTCACGCTGTTTCCGCTGCCTCGACGACTACCGTCAGCGCCATGACATTCAGGAGTGCCCGCCGCGCTAGGAGCAGCTGCTTGCTCGTAGGGTTCCTGTGTTTGATCCGACTATGGACAAGGCTCGTCAGTATGTCATAGATGATGATGTTAACTATAGTGCTGATGGATCTGTTTGCCAGTGTCTTCCTAGACTAGGATCTTTGCGTGTTGCTAGTGTAGGTGCTTGTGTTTTTAGTCCAGGTGTTTCTGCTTACAATCTAGGTGCTTGTGTAGCTACCAGCCCAGGTCCACCTACAGATAACGCATCGTAGTCGTTCACACTGGACTCTGGCGCGTCACAGTGCCTTTTCCACAACCACACGACTCTCTCACCACTTCTTGTTCCGGTTTCAGTTGCCCTGGCTGATCCTACTTTAGGACCAATGGTTGCACGCAACTTTACCACCCTCCCGTGCCTGGCTATCCCCTCTGGTGTCCTCACTGGTCTCCACATTCCCTCGTTCACTCGCAACTTGGTGGGTGTTGGATACCTTTCGGATCGTGGGATCACAGTCACCTTTCTTGGGCACGGGAGGACTGCGTTCTGTACGATCGCTTCCACCGGGGCACTTCTTGCCACGTTCACCAGGAAGCCCGGCTCCGGTCTCTACGTCCAGCACACTGCGTACCCCCAGGTACCTGCGCCTGTTCAGGTGACTGCGACCGGTCAGGTTACTACATTCGGTCAGGTTGCTGTGTTGTGCTCCTGTCAGTCACTCACCTACCCGATCGTCCTGTGGCACCACTGTCTTGGTCACTAGTCCCTCCCACGCCTTCGCAGCATGGCTAGCCAGCGTCTTGTCTCAGGTCTCCCGCGCGTCTTTGCGTCGCTCCCTCCTTCGCCTGCGTTATTGTGCACTCCTTGCAACGAGGGTCGGCTTCGCGCCACTCCTCACTCCTCATCCCTTCGTCCGACCACCGCATCCTTCCCGACTCTCCATTTGGACATCTAGGGCCCAACCCCTCAGCTTGAGCCCGAAAGGGAGCGCTTCTTTCTAGTGGTCGTTGACGACTACTCCAGGTACACCACGGTATTTCCTCTGGCAAAGAAGTCCGACGTGACTTCTACGCTGTGCAAGTGGCTGTTGGCCACTGAGGCCACTCGTGGTTGTCATGTCTTTTGTCTCCACTTCGATCGTGGGGGTGAGTTCCGCTCATAGGGTGAGTCCTAGACGCTTCCGCAATCCCCACAGAAGAATGGGGTTGCTGAGCACCGCATAGGCTTGGTCATGGAGATTGCATGCTCCTCCACATGTTCCGTCTACAATTAGGCCTTGTTGAGACAGGCCCTCGCTTGCTGTAGACTTGCTTCTTACTATTCGTACTTGCCTGTATAGATATATTTGTCAACTCTTGAACTGGCCTTGTGGCCGGTTGTTTGTGCTTAGACTGTGTGGTGACTTTGTGATCCCTGCGCTTTCTTTTGTTGCTTCTCTTCACTAGTCTTGTGACCACTTGATTCTCTTTGTCGTTTTAATGCCCCTCACTTAGGCTATGGGGGTGTGTCAAAGTTATGATAGAATTGTTGGATAGCTTGTTGTGAGTTGCATGCTAGGGAAACAGGAAATCACTCGACACTCTCCTTGTACCCCTCCCCTTTGACATAATTCACCATTCCGCTACGTAAATAATAAGAGATAGAGCTTAGCTGAGACTATCTGAGCTGCCTACATAAGTGTGCATTTGCTATAGCCCCTTCAGTGTTTCAAGTGTATGCTTGATTTAGAGTTTCAAATGGTGCGTCGAGTTTACCGAAAGACCTTCTAATAACGTGTGGTGCACCAATCATACTGGCGTTTGTGGTAGGTCTTGTAATTTTGTAAAGAACTATATGAGCAAGGCACATGCGAATACTGTACCCTCCACCACTGCAGGAAGTGTGATGCATAACCAACGAGGATGTACAGACTATGGAAGCCTGATTTAAAGCTTCGAT